CAACACTCACCGCCTCGGGCATGTACCACGCGCTCCGGGATGCGTTCACGGTCGAATGACCCGAATATTTCGAGTAAGTGAGTGTCTTGAAGGAGTAGGGGTCCTGATACGACGAAGGTCCGAGGCCGGGTCAAAGGGCAATTGTGCGCAACATGTCGTCACCACTCACCGTCAGAGCCTATGCGCTGGTACTCGTAGGGGTGCGGGTACGGGGAGCCGTTTTCCAGAGTGAATTCGAGGTCGGAGGCTTCCTTGGTGGAGGTCTGTTCCTGTGTGGTGGCCCCAGTGTTCATGTCGTATTCGTAGGCGGCACCCTGCGTCGGAGGTGCGGTATCCCTGCGGAGGCCTGGGGCATCCTGGCCGGGATACCATCCACGCACGGCAGTGGCCGCGGAGGCGGCGACAAAGAGGAGGCGGAACGGCGTCGAGAGCATGGTGAATGAGTGTCAGCTCTGGTAAAGAGTGTCGAGGACCCAAGGGGTACACAGTCTCTGCATTGCTGCATCGTGCGCCTTTTATGCGAGCCCTGCGCAGACCTCGTATGAGCATGTCCAATTCGTTTCCGAGAGCGAACGCGGCTATTTTGATCACCCCGAGAGCCCCGCAAGGGAGCCGAGGTGGGACCTGCGCGCTCTTCTCATCCGCAGACCGAGCCATACGGATGCGCTGGGTCTGTCATGCCAACGATGCCGCGGATGCCCCCTCGTTCGCGTCCAGAGCAGCCGAGATAGGCGACCCGTACGAGTGGAGTGGCACGCGTTTGACGGTAGGACTCCCTTATGCGGACGAAGAATACGCCGGGGAACTTCGACCTGCGAAGCTCACGGCATCCTTGGGTTCGCTGTCGGGTCCCGGGAGCGGGGTATTGGCAACGGGTACACCGGGCGGATATATGGAACAATCGGGATGGGGTCACGATCGAGGGGGTACGCACTGCTTGTCCGAGGAAGTTGCAGAGGCGTTTCGGGAACGCGGTCACGGTTTTGATTATACAACACTCGTCCAGATCACGGGATTGAGTGATTTCGCAATCCTCGCCGTCAGCTTGTACGGAAGTCTAAGCTCATGACTTCGTCGTGCGTCAGCAAGCTCGTGCAAACTGTGCACTGAGCCCTCTTCCCTGAGGTCATCGGGAAGCAACGGAGGTTAGGCTACCTGGGAACGTACCATGTCGTGATACCACCTCGGGCGGGTGCACTTTTACCGACGGTCCTCCTTACGAAGCTGCCTTGCACATGGTGGCGTCGAACAGAGCTTGGGATCCGGGGCACCCTCTTCCGCGTCTAAACTGCGATGACTACAGCCGTGGGACGTTGGTACGTGCCTAACGAAGTCTTATGTCCTCCAACTCTGCGGTGGCGGTGGTCAACGAAACCTTCGGCCTTCGAAGTACACGGAAATAGACGTGGCTGGATACCGATGCCGGATAAGCACATGCATGCCTTGTGTGAACGGTCCCATGAGGCTCTATCTGATCATGATAGCGAACCGAACCATACCATTCATGAAGGCAGGTCGTGGGGTGGAGATCGAGCGTGCTGCCAGACTTCCTGCAAATGCTGCACGGGTGCATCCCTGGCGTGGCCGATCAACAAGATGTTGTAACGCAAAGATACAACCTGTGATCGACTCACAGCGGAACGAGGGTAACTAGGACAGGAATAACGTACCATTGGAGTTGCCCGCGACTATGATTGAAAGTATCACCAGGCATAAGTGTCAACGACAACACCCGCACATACAGTACCTCTGGCGTCCCCTTGGCTCTGAGTATATCCATATTTTTTGTCATGATGGGATGCCGGCGTTCGGGGAATTATTGGACGGATGTAGGGGAAGAGGTGACGTCGTTGGGATGGGAAGGGCCATCTATTCATCGGGGCGAAAACGTGCATGCAGGCGGGTATTACTGTGTACCATCGGGACGCTTGACGTCTCCCCCATACAATGTCTTTCTCGCCCAATCCATGACCTGTTGGTCGAGGTCTCTTGTGCTGCGGAACAGCGCCTCGATCTGGTTGTTCCAACCGTTCTGCAACATGGAAACGAATGGCCGGTGTGGAATACGTGCTGCCGCGGGAGTTGGTGCTGGTATATCCGACGACGCGTTCACTAAACGTTCCGAGAGATGGTGCAGACTGGTTCAAACTCATGAGCATGCTAAGAACCTCCCGAACTCAGGACGGATTGAACGCACTCGACGCGATGCTGCTGAGTTCTAGATATAGACCTCAGATACTGTTTCTGTCTGGTTGATTGATCTATCACCTTGCTCACCTCGTTGAGATCATGGAAGACAGACCATAGTATACCTATATCCAACCATGCCAGGGTATTAGCACCTAGATAATTCTCGCAGCGACGTCCGCAGCATACACCACCGGCCACCAGGGCACCTGAAGCAGTTCCGACCAGAAAAGACATGTTGGACGATGTAGTCGCGACGAGAGGATGACCGTTACAGGGAGAGATTCATAGTCGCATGCCTTATGCGCGCTCTGAGCAATATTCGCTGAATATATGCGCTGTAAGAGGGGCTTATTCGAGCGTTAAAAATGTAAGGATAATAAGTCGTGTATTGATGGGTGATTTCCGTCGTGCCGTTTAGACGCTCGTTCGCTACTTTCGTCCTCGCCGTCGCTGTCGCCGCTGCCCCTCTCGCGGTGCTTCGCCTTTGATCTCCTTTTCTCTGTACGCGGGAGGCTGGGTCGGGTTGGACGATGCTGAAAAGTCGGGGTTGCGCGCAGGCCTTGCGTAGGGCGGTCCGGCCGGTGTCAGCACCTCTGGGTACGTGCACTTCATGAACACTATTACCTGTGTGCGTGCGTTGTGCTCATTTGCCGGATACCTTTGCATGAAGTCACAAGAGCTATGCCTCGTGCATACGCTCATGCAGCACCAAGCGCTGCGGAAACGTCGAGGGCTCCTCCGGTCACCACTCCGAGCAAGTCTCGTGAGGAATGGCAGAGGCAAGATGCCCTGCTCGTGCGGCATTTGAACGACGTGTTCTCTCCCTTGAAATTCCCCCCAGAGCTTGCCTCGCGAATATTGACGCACGCCAGTCACCCCGACGCCATGCGGAGGCATAACGGACGGTTGAGCTTCGTTGGTGCGTCACTACTCATGTCAGCCAGCTGAAATTGGGGGAGCTCACCCAGACTGTCGCCGCAGGGCGTCGCGTGCTCCACTCATACTTGCTCATGTTCATCCATTCGTCGCCCGCCCTCCGGCCCGAACACGACTACGAACTCATCCTCGAGCGCGCTCTCAACACGTACGTACTCGGCGAGCATGTCGCGCCGAAATGGGCGATCGGCAAGGTCCTCAAGTGGCGGCCGATGAACGTCGGCAACATGTCAAAACCCCTGGGTCCCGACGTGGAGGTGCCAAGTCCACTGACACAACTGGAGCGCGAAAGCGCGCGGGGAATCGGTATGTACAAGGTGCACGGCACGACTGTCGAAGCTGTCGTAGGCGGCGTCTTCCACCAGTTTGTAAGTCCTTATCACTTTGTATTCCGCTCGTGTCCTCAACACAGTGCGTGCTTCAGGGTGGTTCCGTTGCGCATCGGCTCTTCCACACCCGCGTACTCCCCAACCTCCTGCTTCCCGCCAGTCACGAAGGTCTACACACCGCGTACCACGCCCATGCCCGGGAAATCTGCGAGAAGATGGGCGGGCCTGAGGGACCATTGCTTCGATAGAGAGCTGGAATGGGTCTTAGGTTTGACTAGTTATTCTACCACCGCACGCAATAATACTGCACATCCCTTTGCTATGCTGGCCGAATGGCCCAGGGCGCCGGCACGCTTCGCTCACGCGCCTACGTTCAGCGAACCTCCAACTTGACCATGAGGAAGACAGCACCCTATGGGATTCGGACATTGCTTATCGTAATGACTGTTGCTAGACTCGAAGACAACAATAATGCCGTTGCCTTCAGGAGCGACACTCGCGAATCGTATGCTCTCTGTCGCTGGGATAGATGCGATCACTATACGCGTGTCTCCCAGTACAGTAAGCGTTACCCGACAGCCAGCATCTTGTCCATTGACCCACTACCCACTACAGTAACCTGAGCATGGCTCGCACATGACACAGGACTGTACATGAGGTATGCGTCAGATCACCCCACGCCGAAGCACTATCTGCCACTATATCAAGCGTCGACAACCGCACAAGCCTTCTCTCTCCTCAATATCCTATCGCCAGACCCCCCTCGGGTTCCTTGACATCCCTTCGTAGGCAGCGGGTTCATCGTTCCTCGCTGGGACTTGGCTCGAGACACAGTGTGGCACCGGTTGCCGGGGCACATCGAGCTCGCCTCGTCGGTGCCAGCCGTTTGCCGATATGTGCACAACGCCCGTCGGTGCCCTTGGGGTGTCCTCGGGCGGGGGCCATGCTGCGCTACGGCGTGGTGTGCTCTCCTTTCCCGACCGCTCGCCCGACTAAGCTCAGCAGCTGGCTGGAGTGGCCTTAATTAGCCCACATCCGAATCGGCCACACAGTACTTTGCGACCGACGCAAGTGGTATGTCCGATTCCTCCAGTGTCTTAATCTGTAGATGCACTGGCACGGTTTTATCCGTCTCTTGCCATGAACTTCTGGGTATGAGAGGTGACACCTCTCGGACACGGGCTTCGCACCCAAGTGCTTATGGGGCTCGCGGCCTCGCGCGTGACCACTGTACAAGTTTTTCGATCTTCTACCGCCTGCGAGTGGCCTGGAATGGATCGTGATATATTGAGATATTGGTATGCTAAAGGATTCGACTTGCAACGCTCTGCATACAACTCAGCGACTGAAAATTGTGGTGTGGTCGTTGGCGGAAGGGTTGCTTTCCCGAAGGATGAGGACCGAGTCCTGGAGGCGAACTTAAGGCGTACTACGGACATGACATGCATGGTGTCTTCCCAGACATCGCCCGTTTAGCTCAGTGGTAGAGCGCGCCACTCGTAATGGTGAGGTCGGTTGTTCAATCCAGCCAATGGGCACGTTTCCGGCGCTATAGTGTAGTGGTTATCACTTGGGATTCTGAGGAGGGTTCCCAAAACCCAGGTTCGAGCCCTGGTAGCGCCTGAAGTTTTTGCTCCTTGTGCACAGTTCCTCCGGACTTTAGATAGACAATCTCATTCCTGACCAGCTAGCTCACTGCGCACCAGGCTGAGGTTTGGACGGACGGAATTTCACTTCATTTAGACCTCGTTATCGGAGATTGTATGAACGAAAATGACCGGAAGTGTTATTACCCATGTGATAGAATAAGTACAAGAATGCTCGTCGTCGCGGTTACATATGAGATACCGAGTGAGTGCTGAGGCATGAGGCCTGAGGCGTACACTACGCGTTTGTCTTCGCCTGGGAGTTGAAGGGGAATTGGACCGCGGCGAAGCCGCTGAGCATGTTGCTGTCGCTCGGGGTTTCCTGGCTGCTCACAACAGCAGCGTATACGGTGCCCATGAGACCGTCGGGAACGTTCGTCTTGCCGTCCTTTCCAAGAGGAGTGTAGACGACCTGGAGGCCGTCGAGCCACGCAACGTACTCCTGGCCGCTCTGCGTCTGCCCGGAGGGAGAGTAGGTGGCGACGACCTGGGCACCGTGCGCTGGAGACGAGGATGAGAGCTTCAAAGCCGGGAAGGACTTCACGGGAAGCGGAGCGTTGGTGGAGGGGCAGCTCTTGATGAACGGCACTGTACGACTCGGTGTCAATTATGCTGCAGGATGTACACGGGATGGCTCACGTCACCTGCGAGAGAGTAGGCACCGCTAGGCGTGAGCGGGATGTCGAACGGCCCGTTCCAAGGCTGGAGCTTCATGACCGATGACGCCACCCAACTCGCTTGACGAGCCTCGACAGACAAAATTGACTGTACATATAAAAGTGTCACCGGTGGTCTTAGGAGATTCGTAGAGTGGACGTACGCCAGCCGCAGTCAAGTAATCCGCGTTGCCCCCGAGGTACTTAGCAGCGCCGAGATAGGCAGATGCACCAACAGTCTCGAGGACCATCGACGTGCCGACGAACGAGCTGGGGCTGTCCAATGGGCTGTGATGTTGTATCAATACATGCGGGTTACGGCAAGACAGCGGCAAGCCTACAAGTTGTACTCGCAGGCCTGGACGGCCTTGTCACCCAGCGCGCCAGTGAGGAACTTGACGTGCTCGGCCTCATGATCAAAAATCTGCACGAAGCGTGCGCGGACCCACGGCGGGTATCCGGCCTTCTCGAAGTCGTGGGGGCTGAACTTCGAGAGCCCTTGCGCGTAGAATGTGTTCTCCAGATGTTCCAAGGTCAAGGCAAAGTTGAGGACGTCGACATCTATATGGTACCTGAATGAGTCGGAAGAGGAACGAGACGATGTTGGTGGAACGTACCGCTGGGGCCTGAAGGAGTGGGAGCACCGAGGACGGTGGAAGCGGCGATGAAAGCGAGGAGAGCGGCCTTGGCGAACATCTTGCGGGTGCTAGAGGGCGCGGGCGAGGAGACCGAAATGAGCGTCTTGAGTCGAGGAATGCCGTTCGTGCTGAGCGAGCAGACTGAGGGTGTTGGAGTGCATGCCGGCTATTTATGTGTCTGCGGGACAGCTGCCGGGGAGGCGAACTATGGCTGACATCGTTCAACCTCCACCTCGTCATCCCAGAAGAAGCAGGAGGCTTGTCCGGCCCAGAAGGACGGCTCGGGCATCTCGGCGGATGACGCGGTGTGCCCGCGGTGCGCCCGCAGGACCTAATGATCAGCTGTTCCTCGACGCTGCTCACGGCGGGAGCGCATCGGACGGCCGTAGGATTGATTCGCTCAAACTTCTGCCTGTAGCTTCTATAATTTGTGGATCCTAAATTCATGGTTCATTTTGGCAGCGCCGTAGACGGAGGAAGTCCCCCGGGCGGCGGAGCACCTGGTGATCGATTCGCGGAATTCGGGCGACGGCGTTTGCCTGCTTCTCTGTGCTCGTTCATTCATGACGACGGTGCTCCGATCAGTGGAAGGCCACGGCGTTCTAACGTCTCAGAATGGCCTCGATCTGCATGCGGAGCCCCGCGCGACCTCGGGCATTGAAACCTTCACAGAAGCCGCGTGTTGATAACTGAATGCAGGCCAACAGTGAGTCCACCACGGCTACAGTCACACGGATTCACTCACAGCGCCACCTATGAGACTGCACGACCAAGGTACACGGACTCTTGACCGCCATTAACTTCACAACTCTTCGAAACACCTGGCGTTCAGTAGCAGAATACCGCTTTTGGTAAGACGCACGGACCAGGTACGGGAGCACACGGAACAGCCAGTCACGTGCCGTCACACTGCCCTACATATCCGCGACATACGCTCGTTCTGTCATCCTCACACTCTCATGTCGCTCAGCGCGATGTGCTCAGGTCCAGCTGTCCTGTGCGGAAGGTGCTGAGCTTGAGGTCCATGAAGATCTCGCCGCACCGGAGGCCAGTGGCTTCCTTCGATGAATCACGGCTTTCCCGCGCGTCCTATCGGCCCAGCCCTCAGACGTGCTTCGTGCACATCTGTAGGCAGCGGGGTTGGCCCCCTCGCTGGACACTGCGGCCGAAGACGCCACGAGACACACCGCCGTAACCCCATGCAGCGTGGCGCATGAAGTTCGTCTTCTGCGCTCGCTGCGTGTGAGGGGTCTGGCGACACTACCGCAACTACATCTACACTTCACGGCACATACCGCCGGGCACTCCGCCCGTGCGCACCTCGAATATATTCATCGGGCGCGCGCAAGCTCGTGAGAGCTCCGCCGCGCTGCCTCGAAACCCTAACGTGATATGACCGCCGTCGAGCAATCGATGCTGCGGTCTTCTCCTTGGAGATCTGTGGATAATCTGTCGCTAGAGGGCTCTGCTCTGACTAGCGGCGGATTTCATGGCCAGTAAGTCCTTGACGTCTTAGAGACGTACGAGGCTGGCAACTGCGCGGGCCGCGGCGCAGTATAATTCGTCTTCGGTCGTGGACAATCGCTGGGTACGAGGGACGTCGCCGGCATGTCCGTTGGTTCATCATCTGGTGCGGGCAGCCGATGGCGGGGCAGGCGAGGGCATCGAGTCGCTCAGCGCAGACTCTGCTTGAACCCCCCGTCGTCGTTCTGTTTCGCCAATTTTTGGAAATTCCCCGCTCTTCGCGAGTGGTCCTTGTTTCTCTTCTTTCCTCCAGCGTCGGCTAGACTGTACGATGCATAAAGTGTGGTAAGCACGTAGTATATACATTATGTCACTTTTTCCGGGAGAATATGCTGCGTGTTTCTTTATAGCTTCCCACACTTTTCATGCGTAAACGTACCATAGTACTCCTACATGCGCCAATGGCGGTGAGTACGATCAACTCCGAACAACAAAACAACGAACTTGTAAGACGTACCGCTTCCGACACAGCCACCGCAGCGTAACCGAACAAGAACAGTAGGCGAACAGGCGGGTCCGGACGTATTCCAGAGGGATTAGCGCTGAACGTGAACACCCCTCGCACCTGCCAGCCAAACCGTAGAGGTAACCGTCGCTACAAGGTCGCATATTCCATAGCACTACATCCCGCCTACATCCGTCCCGGCCCTACAGAAACGTACATACCGCTACTCGACGCGCGTCCCACCGACTACTTACACCTCCACAAATCTCACCGCCCGTAGCCCTGGTATTGATACTGCTGTGGCGGCGGAGGCGGCGCCCCCTGCGCCGGGTATCCCGAGTAATAGTACGGCTGCTGTTGCTGTTGCTGGGGCGGTGGCTGCTGCTGCTGCTGCTGTTGCTGTTGCGGCGGCGGCGGGGGAGTCCCATACTGCTGCTGCGAGCCATAGCTGATCGGGGGAGGCGGCGGCGGGAAAGGCGACGCTGCGCTACCCGGCGGGGGACCGTTCTGGCTTTGGTTCTGGCCTGGGTACGCACCGTACTGCGGCTGGGAGGGCGGCGGAGGCGGGTACGGCGACGATTGCTGTGGCTGGCCGTACTGAGGCTGAGAGGGAGGCGGGGGAGCGTAGGACGGGTATTGCTGTGGGGGCGGGGGCGGGCGTGCGGGAGGGGGCGAGGGCGCGCTCGTGCTCCCGAAGAGGCTGAGGGAGGCGTAAGGATCCGGGGGAGGGGCGGACGGCTGGTATGATGGCTGGGATGGTGGCTGGGATGGTGGCTGGGAGGGAGGAGGCGGGAGGTAAGGCGCGGATCCATGGGTGCTGGGCGGCTGCGAAGGAGGCGGGGTGGGGTAGTGAGACGAAGGTGGGGGCGGGGGCGGGGAAGACCATTGGTTGTGAGGGGTGGCTGGTGCAGGAGGAGGCGGGGACAAAGCACCGTTCGCGCCGCGCAGGTTCATCGACGCGAACGACGATTCCAGACCGGTCGACGGCTTTGGCGGAGGTGGGGGAATGGGCGGCTTGCCTCCCGGCGTTGCGTTCGGTGTAGACTTAGGTATTACCAATCTACGCTCCATTTCAGCCTGCGAGGCAAGCCCTTCACGTTCTGTAGTACGCTCAGAAATGAAGGAATCGGTATTCCGCTTCAACGATCCCGTCAACTCGGTGAGCTCGGTGTAGAACTGCAGTCCTTTCCTGTGAGAGCGTCAGCCACAGCGTACCACGCAGCATCGTGAATTTGCGACGTACGCAAGCCCGTCCCGAACCTCCATGTATACGTCTCGCGCACGCGAGAACCTCCGAACGGTATCCTTCTTGCGTCGTTCGCGTTCTTCCCACTTCTTGGCACCAGCACCACGTCCAGCCATGTCGCGCAACCCGCGCCACAACTGAGTGAGCTCCTGCAATGTGAGCTGCTCGTGGTGCACGGTCGCTGCCAAGCGTTGCTGGTACGGGCGGAATTTCTCTAGCTCCCCGGCAAACAGGGTGCTCTCCACGCCAGTATTACGCCGGTTGAGTAGCAGGAGGTGGGATACATCGTCTTGTTGAACCTGGCGGTACTGGTTAGCACGTAGGGATAGGGTACATTGGCTACTAGCCCACCTTGTCTTTGAGGTCCTTTAAGACTTGGCCGCGTTCATGGGAGATCTTGTTCAGACGGCCGAGCCTTTCCTCAATTTCATCCACAAACTGGCCTATCTTGACGCGCTCCTGCTCGTC